TCGAGGCAGGCAGCAGGCGAGGGAGTAGTTGGGTCCAGGCAGAGGTCTCTGCAGGCAAGGGATCAGTTAGGTCCAGGCAGATGAGGGAGTAGTCAGGTCCAGGCAGGGCCCAAGGCAGGCAGCAGGCAAGGTAGTAATCAGGTCCAGGCAGAGGTTGAAGCAGGCAGCAGGCGAAGGAGTAGTCTAGTCCAGGCAGAGGTCTGCAGTCTGCAGGCAAGGGATCAGTTATGTCCAGGCAGGGGCGAGGAAGGCAGCAGGCGAGGGAGTAGTCGGGTCCAGGCAGGCAAGAGAGCAGTCAGGTCGATGTAGATCGGCAACAGGAAGGCAACTAACAGACAAGCATTATGGCACTTTGGCTCTGAGGTAGCTGTGATAAGACACACAACCAGCCACTTTAAAGACTGTAAGGACCCTTCTGGTCAGAGGACACACTCAACACCATTTCAAGGAACTCAGAAAGTCCTGGAGGTAGTGGAAAGTTTAGGAGTCCTGTAAGACCCGGCAGGGATCCTGTGAATACTAGAGATCCTGGGAGACCCGGCAGGAATCTTGTGAATACTGAAGATCCTGGGAGACCCAGCAGGAATCCTGTGAATATTGGAGATCCTGAGAGACCCCATCAGAGATCCTGTGAATACTAGAGATAATGGGAGACTAAGTAAGGATCATGTCAATCTTGGAGATCCTTGGAGACCCATCAGGGATCTTGTGAATACTGGAGATCCTGGAAGACCTGGCAAAGATCCTGTGAATACTGGAGATACTGGGAGACCCATCAGAGACCCTGTGTATACAAGAGATCCTGGGAGACCCAGCAAGAATCCTGTGAATACTGGAGATCCTTGGAGACCCATCAAGGACCTTGTGTATACTAAAGATTCTGGGAGACTCAGCAGGAATCCTGTGAATATTGGAGATCCTTGGAGACCCATCAAGGACCTTGTGTATACTAAAGATTCTGGGAGACCCGTCAGGAATCCTGTGAATACTGGAGATCCTATAACAGCCATGTACATGCCTTTTAATGTGCTGCATTACCAGAAATGCTGCGAGTGTGACTGGCTGCCTAAACACAACGCACGTCTATACATAATGAGCAATAATGAGCGTGTGATAAAGATGCCACAATTGGATGGTTAATGTTAGGTGGGTACCCTGTATGGGTTGGATAAGTAGGTGCAGGATAGGTGGGTACCCTGTATGAGTAGGATAGGTAGGTATATGATAGATGGGTACCTGGTATGAGTAGGAAAGGGTAGGTATATGATAGGTGGGTACCTGGTATGAGTAGGAAAGGTAGGTATATGATAGGTGGGTACCCTGTATGAGTAGGATAGGTAGGTATATGATAGGTGGGTACCCTGTATGGGTAGGGTAGGTAGGCATATGATAGGTGGGTACCCTGTTTGGGTAGGGTAGGTAGGTATATGATAGGTGGGTACCCTGTATGGGTAGGATAGGTAGGTATATGATAGGTAGGTACCCTGTATGAGTAGGATAGGTAGGTATATGATAGGTGGGTACCCTGTATGGGTAGGGTAGGTAGGTATATGATAGGTGGGTACCCTGTTTGGGTAGGGTAGGTAGGTATATGAGAGGTGGGTACCCTGTATGAGAAGGATAGGTAGGTATATAATAGGTGGGTACCCTGTATGAGTAGGATAGGTAGGTATATGATAGGTGGGTACCCTGTATGGGTAGGGTAGGTAGGTATATGATAGGTGGGTAGCCTGTATGGGTAGGTAGGTAGGTATATGATAGGTGGGTACCCTGTTTGGGTAGGGTAGGTAGGTATATGATAGGTGGGTACCTTGTATGAGTAGGATAGGTAGGTATATGATAGGTGGGTACCCTGTATAGTAGGGTAGGTAGCCATATGATAGGTGGGTACCCTGTATGGGTAGGGTAGGTAGGTATATGATAGGTGGGTAACCTGTATGGGTAGGGTAGATAGGCATATGATTGGTGGGTACCCTGTATGGGTAGGGTAGGTAGGCATATGATTGGTGGGTACCCTGTATGGGTAGGGTAGGTAGGCATATGATTGGTGGGTACCCTGTATGGGTAGGGTATGTAGGTATATGATAGGTAGGTACCCTGTATGAGAAGGATAGGTAGGTATATGATAGGTGGGTACCTTGTATGAGTAGGGTAGGTAGGTATATGATAGGTGGGTTCCCTGTGTGGGAAGGGTAGGTAGGTATATGATAGGTGGGTTCCCTGTGTGGGAAGGGTAGGTAGGTATATGATAGGTGGGTACCCTGTATGAGAAGGATAGGTAGGTATATGATAGGTGGGTATTCTGTATGAGAAGGATAGGTAGGTATATGATAGGTGGGTAGCCTGTATGGGTAGGGTAGGTAGGTATATGATAGGTGGGTACCCTGTTTGGGTAGGGTAGGTAGGTATATGATAGGTGGGTACCCTGTTTGGGTAGGGTAGGTAGGTATATATGATAGGTGGGTACCCTGTATGGGTATGGTAGGTAGGCATATGATAGGTGGGTACTCTGTATGGGTAGGGTAGGTAGGTATATGATAGGTGGGTACCCTGTATGGGTATGGTAGGTAGGTATATGATAGGTGGGTACCCTGTATGAGTAGGTAGGTAGGTATATGATAGGTGGGTACCCTGTATGGTTAGGGTAGGTAGGTATATGATAGGTGGGTACCCTGTATGGGTAGGGTAGGTAGGTATATGATAGGTGGGTACCCTGTATGGGTAGGGTAGGTAGGTATATGATAGGTGGGTTACCCTGTATGGGTAGGGTAGGTAGGTATATGATAGGTAGGTACCCTGTATGGGTAGGGTAGGTAGGTATATGATAGGTGGGTACTCTATATGGGTAGGGTAGGTAGGTATATGATAGGTGGGTACCCTGTATGGGTAGGTAGGTAGGTATATGATAGGTGGGTACCCTGTATGGGTAGGGTAGGTAGGTATATGATAGGTAGGTACCCTGTATGGGTAGGGTAGGTAGGTATATGATAGGTAGGTACCCCGTTGATGTTCTGCTTCTCAGCATCTTATTTCATGATACGGCTCACAGAGATATTGTCAGCAAACAGATGAGGAATTATCATAAACAATGTCTTCCCCCCGAGCCGTCCTCTGATCAGAGAACCGACATCCTTCATTCCTTCCCGCTGAACCGTCTGCCATCAGAAGGGACTCCGGCTCAGGGGAACGTCAGGATGACAAACTAATCACCAATGAAAAGTCATTTCCTATTCCAGCTCCGCTCTGCACTCTCCAGATAAAAGATTAAAGTGAAGCTTCAGATGTGATGAGGGGAAGACAATCAGTCATCTGTACACTGCAAGGATGGTGGGAACCCCTCATAATGGGCATAGCGGGGGTACAGACCCGGGAACTCAGCACAGGGATGGTGGGAACCCCTCATAATGGGCACAGCAGGTATACAGACCCGAGAACTCGGCACAGGGATGGTGGGAACCCCTCATAATGGGCACAGCGGGGGTACAGACCTGGGAATTCAGCACAGGGATGGTGGGAACCCCTCATAATGGGTACCGCGGGGGTACAGACCCGGGAACTCAGCACAGGGATGGTGGGAACCCCTCATAAGGTGCACAGCAGGTATACAGACCCGGGGAACTCAGCACAGGGATGGTGGGAACCCCTCATTATGGGCACAGCGGGGGTACAGACCCGGGAACTCAGCACAGGGATGGTGGAAACCCCTCATAATGGGCACAGCGGGTGTACAGACCAGGAACTCGGCACAGGGATGGTGTAAACCCCTCATAATGTGCACAGCGGGTGTACAGACCAGGGAACTCAGCACAGGGATGGTGGGAACCCCTCATAATGGGCACAGAAGGTTTACAGACCTGGGAACTCAGCACAGAGATGGTGGGAACCCCTCATAATGGGCACGGCGGGGGTACAGACCCAGGAACTCAGCACAGGGATGGTGGGAACCCCTCATAATGGGTCCAGCGGAGGTACAGACCCGGGAACTCAGCACAGGGATGGTGGGAATCCCTCATAATGGGCCCAGCGGGTGTACAGACCTGGGAACTCAGCACAGGGATGGTGGGAACCCCTCACAATGGGCACAGTGGGGGTACAGACTCGGGAACTCAGCGCAGGGATGGTGTAAACCCCTCACAATGGGCACGGCGGGTGTACAGACCCGGGAACTCAGCACAGGGATGGTGGGAACCCCTCACAATGTGCACGGCGGGTGTACAGACCTGGGAACTCAGCACAGGGATGGTGGGAACCCCTCATAATGGGCCCAGCGGGTGTAAGAACCCGGGAACTCAGCACAGGGATGGTGGGAACCCCTCACAATGGGCACGGCGGGTGTACAGACCCGGGAACTCAGCACTGGGATGGTGGGAACCCCTCACAATGGGCACGGCGGGTGTACAGACCCGGGAACTCAGCACAGGGATGGTGGGAACCCCTCACAATGGGCACAGCAGGTATAAGGACCCAGGAACTCAGTACAGGGATGGTGGGAACCCTCATAATGGGCACAGCAGGTATAAGGACCCAGGAACTCAGTACAGGGATGGTGGGAACCCCTCATAATGGGCACAGCAGGTATAAGGACCCAGGAACTCAGTTCAGGACATATAAGGACATTTTAGGTCACGTGGCTTCAAAGGAAATATTTAGATTCGGTGGATTCTGCCGCACTGGAACGTCTTGTGTTTGCAGAAGGCGCAATGTTCTCCCATTCTATAAATACATTCTGGTTTGATAGTGATTTGGTTACATCTACTTGAATTGAAAGGAAGCCAGGCTGGGACTTGTAGTTCCTCAGCTGTCCTCGGTCCCCATCAACCTTTGCGGGTGACAACTCCGGGAAGGTGTGATATTTGCGCAGACATGAAGCTGCCAGGAAGACGGACGGATCGGGGAGAATGCAAACTGCAAATTTCAAGAGCAGAAAAAGGGCAGATTGTCCATCAGCAGACATTCCGGATCCTTCTCTCTGTAAATGAGGCAGAAGAGATGTTTGACTAGAACACTCAATTATCTTCTGTCCACACCGGCCGGATCAGCGCACGCCGTCCGCAACATACAAAGCGATGCGCCCGCCGCTCACATCCACCTAAATGTCACTCAGATCTTCCTGGCTGGACCTGAACTACATCGCTCAGCAGTCTGAGATTAACTCCCCCCTCCGGCCCCCCTTCAGTCTTGCACAGGTGTGCCGGCTCCTCCCCTTCAGTCCTACACAGCTGTATCGGCTCCTCCCCTTTAGTCCTACACAGGTGTGCCAGCTCCTCCCCTTCAGTCTTGCACAGGTGTGCTGTCTCCTCTCCTTCAGTCTTGCACAGGTGTGCCGGCTCCTCCCCTTCAGTCTTGCACAGGTGTGCCAGCTCCTCCCCTTCAGTCTTGCACAGGTGTACTAGCTCCTCCCCTTTAGTCTTATACAGGTGTAGCAGCTCCTCCCCTTCAGTCTTGCATAGTTGTACCGGCTCCTCCCCTTCAGTCTTGCACAAGTGTAGTGGCTCCTCCTCTTCAGTCTTGCACAGGTGTACTAGCTCCTCCCCTTTAGTCATACACAGGTATAGCAGCTCCTCCCCTTCAGTCTTATACAGGTGTACCGGCTCCTCTCCTTCAGTCTTGCACAGGTGTACTAGCTCCTCCCCTTTAGTCATACACAGGTATAGCAGCTCGTCCCCTTCAGTCTTATACAGGTGTAGTGGCTCCTCCTCTTCAGTCTTGCACAGGTGTACCGGCTCCTCCCCTTCAGTCTTGCACAGGTGTACAGGCTCCTCCCCTTCAGTCTTACACAGGTGTACCTGCTCCTCCCTTTCAGTCTTGTACAGGTGTACAGCCTCCTCCCTTTCGGTCTTGCACAGTTGTACCCAGGGGCGGACTGACAACTCATGGGGCCCCCGGGCAATAGGGGATCATGGGGCCATTGTGTCCTCTCCCAAACTCAAAAAAGCCTATGAAAAGGGTACCAGGGGCATCTCATGGGGCCCCCTACTGACCCCGGGCCCTCGGGCAGTGCCCGAGTTTCCAAATGGTCAGTCCACCCCTGGTTGTACCGGGTCCTCCCCTTCAGTCTTGCACAGGTGTACTAGCTCCTCCCCTTTAGTCATACACAGGTATAGCAGCTCGTCCCCTTCAGTCTTATACAGGTGTAGTGGCTCCTCCTCTTCAGTCTTGCACAGGTGTACCGGCTCCTCCCCTTCAGTCTTGCACAGGTGTACCGGCTCCTCCCCTTCAGTCTTGCACAGGTGTACCGGCTCCTCCCCTTCAGTCTTGCACAGGTGTACTAGCTCCTCCCCTTCAGTCTTGCACAGTTGTACAGCCTCCTCCCCTTCAGTCTTGCACAGGTGTGCCAGCTCCTCCCCCTCAGTCTTGCACAGGTGTACCGGCTCCTCCCCTTCAGTCTTGCACAGTTGTACCTGCTTCTCCCCTTTAGTCTTGCACAGGTGTACCGGCTCCTCCCCTTCAACCTTGCACAGGTGTATCGGCTCCTCCCGTCCAGTCTTGCGCAGGTGTACCGGCTCCTCCCCTTCAGTCTTGCACAGGTGTACCAGCTCCTCCCCTTCAGTCTTGCGCAGGTGTACCGGCTCCTCCCCTTCAGTCTTGCACAGGTGTACCGGCTCGTCTCCTGGACTGGAATGGCTTCCTCTGATGTCACTGCACACTGTGAGCTTCTCACAATGTGCATTAGAAACTGCAGCAAGCAGAGGCGTAACTAGAACCTTCAGGGCCCTTGTGCAAGAAACGCCCTGGCCTGGCCCCTCCCTCTGAGCTTGGAGTCCATTCTACTGATCTTTTTTATGGTCCCTGTCACAGGTGGGGGGCAGTGTGACAGAGAGGCAGCATGACAGGAGGGGGCAGTATGAAAGGGGGCAATGTGACAGGAGGGGGGCAGTATGATGGGGGGGCAGTATGACAGGAGGGCAATGTGACAGGAGGGGGGCAGTATGACAGGAGGGCAATGTGACAGGAGGGGGGCAATATGATGGGGGGCAGTATGACAGGAGGGCAATGTGACAGGAGGGGGGCAGTATGACAGGAGGACAATGTGACAGGAGGGGGGCAGTATGACAAGAGGGCAATGTGACAGGAGGGGGGCAGTATGACAGGAGGGCAATGTGACAGGAGGGGGGCAGTATGATGGGGGGGCAGTATGACAGGAGGGCAATGTGACAGGAGGGGGGCAGTATGACAGGAGGGCAATGTGACATGACAGGAGGGGGGCAGTATGATGGGGGGGCAGTATGACAGGAGGGGAATATGACAGGAGGGGGGCAGTGTGATGGGGGGCAGTATGACAGGAGGGCAATGTGACAGGAGGGGGGCAGTATGATGGGGGGGGGAGTATGACAGGAGGGCAATGTGACAGGAGGGGGGCAGTGTGATGGGGGGGCAGTATGGCAGAGGGGGGCAGTGTGACAGAAGGGGGGCAGTATGACAGGGGGCAATGTGACAGGAGGGGGGCTGGGCTGCAGATTGTGACCACACTTCATGTTGCACCTTTGATGAAAACTTACACATCACAGAAATCAGAAAAGTAGATATCTGCGTCATCAAATCCCATTATTTGAATTGAAAAACAATTATTTTATAGATAGACAGACAGACAGAGATAGATAGATAGATAGATAGATAGATGGATGGATGGATAGATAGATAGATAGATAGATAGATAGATAATAGATAGATTATAGATAGATAGATAGATAGATAGATAATAGATAGATAGATGATAGATAGATGATAGATAGATAATAGATAGATAATAGATAGATAGATAGATAATAGATTTATTATTATTATACAGGATTTATGGCGCCAACAGTTTGCTCAGCGCTTTACAATATAACGGGAGATAATACAGCAGTAATACACTTCAATACAAGAGGGTTAGGAGGGCCCTGATCCTGGGAGCTTACAATCTAAGATTTCCTATATATATATATAATTTATTTTTATTCTTTTTTCTCATCGAGCCCATTCCCTCCATAGCATTGTGGTCGTTTCCCGTCACTGGAGACTGCTATTTTCAGTAGGAGATGTGATCAGGGAACTGTAGCTGCCCCATGGAGGTAACAGTAATATCGTCTACACTGAACGAACGGCTGGAATCCATTACCCGTCACCGATTGTTTTGTTTTTTTTTTTACATCAGGCCGTTCTCTTTAAACTATATTTAAAAATAACTTTTAAAGGATACTTTGTTACTCATTGTTATGATTTCCTGTGATCATTGCATATTATGAGGTACCACAGCGCCCTCTGCCGGCCATTTACACTTATTACCGAACACTCACTTTCCTAATACACAAAAGTCATGTATTTATTATTATTATTATTTTTATACAATATTTATATACCGCCAACAGTTTGTGGAGCGCTGTACAATATAAAGAGAGACAGAACGATTACAAAACAGTTCAATACAGAAGGAATAGGAGGGTCCTTCTCCTGTATTTACTATATATATATATATATGTGTGTCTGGTTTGTTTCTGGAATTATTCATTATGTTTATTAAAATAAAAAACACCTTTGAAGCCTTAGGACCCCATGTACACTGCGGCTGATAAACGCTCAGGAGCTGTTCAGCGTTTTTTCCAGCAGCCCCTGAACTCTCCCTAATGTTCTCCTATGTGTCCGTGTACACATCATCCTTTACAGTTGTTTACGGGCATTTGAGTTTATAGTCTTTTTTTGAACATAGAAAACTTGCATTCAGCAGTTGATTTTATCAGCGTTTCAAACGCAAAATGCTTGTAAAAGTGGCAAATTGCGTTTATAAGCGTTTGTGTCTGAAAAGTTTTTTTTAAATCTTCCAGTTCCTGATGCTCTCCAGAGCCTTTTTTCATCATGAAAAATGCATGCAAAGCATTTTCAAGGTACTAAAATGGACAAAACACTGAACACAGGATGTTCCTACCAAGCTTGTCACACATTGTAATGACCAATTCACACCGCAGACCTCTCCCACCCTTGGAAACATAATATATGTTAATGACCATTCACACCTCAGACCTCTCCCACCCTTGGAAACAAAAGATATGTTAATGACCATTCACACCTCAGATCTCTCCCACCCTTGGAAACAAAACATATGTTAATGACCAATTCACACCTCAGACCTCTCCCACCCTTGGAAACAAAAGATATGTTAATGACCATTCCCACCTCAGACCTCTCCCACCCTTGGAAACAAAAGATATGTTAATGACCAATTCAGACCTCTCCCACCCTTAGAAACAAAAGATATGTTAATGATCAATTCACACCTCAGACCTCTCCCACCCTTGGAAACAAAAGATAGGTTAATGGGAAAAATTCACACCTCAGACCTCTCCCTCCCTTGGAAATAAAAGATATGTTAATGGTAAAATTCACACCTCAGACCTCTCCCACCCTTGGAAACAAAAGATATGTTAATGGACAATTCACACCTCAGACCTCTCCCACCCTTAGAAACAAAAGATATGTTAATGACCAATTCACACCTCAGACCTATCTCACCCTTGGAAACAAAAAATATGTTAATGGTAAAATTCACGCCTCAGACCTCTCCCACCCTTGGAAACAAAAGATATGTTAATGACCATTCACACCTCAAATTCCTCATGAAGACCCCCTGCCAGGTGGCCTTACTGACTCCCTCTACCAGACACCTTTCCCACCCTTGGAAACAAAAGAAATGTTAATGAGCAACTCACACGTCAGCTAATCTCAACACATACTGCTGTCTCTGCTTCTACTCTCTGTATTTCTCATAAACAGTCTGAAATAGTTCATAATATACCACTTTTCAATGCATTCTGGGCATTTGGGAGGTCTCCTGTGCTTGTCTTTAAAAAATGCTTCTAAATGCAAATGCACATAAACGCACATAAACGCGGCTAAACAGACGTTTTTTGACCTACGTTTTCCAACAGTCAGTTTTTCATCGTTCAGAAGTGTCCCATGTACATGGGGCCTAAGGGTTTGCCCTCTTCTAGTATGACATAATTGCATATATTCGTATATTCTGCGTGTTTATACATACAGTGGGGATCGAAAGTTTGGGCACCCCAGCTAAAAATTTGTATTAATGTGCATAAAGAAGCCAAGGAAAGATGGAAAAATCTCCAAAAGGCATCAAATTGCAGATTAGACATTCTTATAATATGTCAGCAAAAGTTAGATTTTATTTCCATCATTTACACTTTCAAAATAACAGAAAACAAAAAAATGGCGTCTGCAAAAGTTTGGGCACCCTGCAGAATTTATAGCATGCACTGCCCCCTTTGCCAAGCTGAGACCTGCCAGTGTCATGGATTGTTCTCAATCATCATCTGGGAAGACCAGGTGATGTCAATCTCAAAGGTTTTAAATGCCCAGACTCATCTGACCTTGCCCCAACAATCAGCACCATGGGTTCTTCTAAGCAGTTGTCTAGAAAACTGAAACTGAAAATAGTTGACGCTCACAAAGTTGGAGAAGGCTATAAGAAGATAGCAAAGAGTTTTCAGATGTCAATATCCTCTGTTCGGAATGCAATTAAGAAATGGCAGTCATCAGGAACAGTGGAAGTTAAAGCAACATCTGGAAGACCAAGAAAAATATCAGACAGAACAGCTTGCAGGATTGTGAGAAAAACAATTCAAAACCCACGTTTGACTGCACGATCCCTCCAGAAAGATCTGGCAGACACTGGAGTTGTGGTACACTATTCCACTATAAAGAGATACTTGTACAAATATGGTCTTCATGGAAGAGTCATCAGAAGAAAACCTCTTCTACGTCCTCACCACAAAAATCATCGTTTGAACTTTGCAAATGAACATATAGACAAGCCGGATGCATTTTGGAAACAAGTTCTGTGGACTGATGAGGTTAAAATTGAACTTTTTGGCCGGAATGAGCAAAGCTACGTTTGGAGAAGAAGGGGCACAGAATTTAATGAAAAGAACCTCTGTCCAACTGTTAAGCATGGGGTTGGATCAATCATGCTTTGGGGTTGTGTTGCAGCCAGTGGCACAGGGAACATCTCACGAGTAGAAGGAAAAATGGATTCAATAAAATTTCAGCAAATTTTGGATGGTAACTTGATGTCATCTGTGAAAAAGCTGAAGTTAAAGAGAGGATGGCTTCTACAAATGGATAATGATCCTAAACACACCTCGAAAATCCATGGGGGATTACATAAAGAGGCGTAAACTGAAGGTTTTGCCATGGCCTTCACAATCTCCTGACCTCAACATAATTGAAAATCTATGGATAGACCTTAAAAGAGCAGTGCGTGACAGACAGCCCAGAAATCTCAAAGAACTGGAAGACTTTTGTAAGGAAGAATGGGCAAAGATACCTCAAACAAGAATTGAAAGACTCTTGGCTGGCTACAAAAAGCGTTTACAAGCTGTGATACTTGCCAAAGGGGGCAGTACAAGATATTAACTCTGAAGGGTGCCCAAACTTTTGCAGACGTCATTTTTTTGTTTTCTGTTATTTTGAAAGTGTAAATGATGGAAATAAATCTAACTTTTGTTGACATATTATAAGAATGTCTAATCTGTAATTTGATGCCTTTTGGAGATTTTTCCATCTTTCCTTGGCTTCTTTATGCACATTAATACAAATTTTTAGCTGGGGTGCCCAAACTTTCAATCCCCACTGTAAATGCTTCATAATAAAACAACACCATATGGAGTCTCTGCCCCG